GAGCGAGCAAGCAAGCAAGTGAACAGTGAAATAAAAGAAGATCAAAGCAACAAAGCCCAAGGGCGACTGGTGTGGTCTTCACGTGAAAGACAAAAGCAGGGGCTTTGCTCCAAGGTCGCGCACCCAGGCACTGTCTCGCTCCCAACCCCACAGGCTGAGGCCAGCCCTGGGGCCCACAGGGCTGAAAAGCTACAGAGGCATGACCCAGACCCCCGCACACTTAGGCAAGGAAAAGCCCCAAGAATCTCAGCCTCCCCGGGGGGGTCTCTCCTCTGGGGTGTGTGCGCACGCACGCATGTGTGTCCTCCATTGCGGACCCCCGGCGGGGAGGTCCTTCCACTGTGCTTCTTTGAACTCAGGGTCAGAAGTGCCAGGCCTCAGGGCTTTCGCCCAGCCCTACTCACAGAGAAGCCACAGGGCCACCCCGAGGAGGCCCTTCGCTCCACCCCATCACATACCAGGCGCCAGCTTGTCCTGCTGGAAAACTCTCTGGGCCTCTGCCCCACCCCCTAATCCACCTTCCAGGGCCACCCTGGTGGTGTCTGGGGTACCCATTTCAATGCACCCACTGCAAATCTGGCCCATGGTCCCCCTACCCCTGTGCAGCTGGAGCTCCCGAGTGCCCGCCTCTGTGCTGCAGAGATCACCCTCTCAAGAGCTGGCCTGGGTTTGAAGACACGACAGCGAAGCAACGAGGTGCTGACCTTCGGCACGTGGGAGCTGCCAGCATTTTAACAAGAAAACGTGTGTCCCTGGTGACTCAGGCCCTCTTTCGGAGAGTGGGCCAGTCGGGCCAGTCCAGGGCACTGGCTGTGTTAGGGGGAAAGGATGTCCCGAGCTAATCCCATACAGGCTTTGTGGACCCCACCCCCACTCCAGACTAAAGCCATCAGGACATTGGGAAAGACAAATCCCATCACCACCAAGGGGAGGGTGGCTGGGACCTGAGGGTGGAGTTGGGCAGCCAGGTTGGGTATAAAAACCAAACACGTGGGCCTTGCTCGCTCTCTGGCTCGCGATCGCTCGCCTCCTGGCTTCACCGCTCCTGGCTGGCGGCAGCTCTGAGAGCGCCATTTTGGGATTCCTGATGGGCGGATCGGGTAGGACGCATTTAAAACTTTGTCTCCCACTTTCCTCCCAGAGCTGTCCATTTCCTCCTTTCCCCTTCCCTTGTCAATAAACCTTTTATGAACCTTTCGCGTGTGCCAGCGGTGGAGCATGGATAAGTCCTTTTAAGCGCGCGGGTGAGGACCCACAGTCAGGCACCCCGTTTTGTACCGGGGTTGCTCTACAACAGCAGGTCCAGCAGAGGCCAGCACGGTGCTCTCAGGGAAGCCTCAAAGGGGCCTGCAGCCGGGACAGGTCAAGACAAACGCGGAGAGTCAGTTCCCGGCGGCGCAGGGTGGAGGGAAGGGAGGATGGTGTCCGCTGACGGGGGCCGCGCGCCGTCATCCGCCCTCCACAGGACCCACACCCAGGCTCCAGCAGACGTGTGTCTTACGGCCCCTGGATTCTGGCATTTTCCCATCACTAGGGAGACTTCCTGCTAAATACCCAAAGCCACGGGACAGAGCAGGACACCGTAAGGCAATTCAAGGGTGTGCTAGTCCCTGACTCAGCCGTGGGCTGGCACCGGGGCCTGGGGGCGGGGAGCAGCGTCTCTGGCTGGCGTTGCTCCCTAGACCTTCCAGAACAGGTGGGCCGGGGCTACTGCTCCCCAGGACAGCTGTTGCTCCTGAACTAGGGAGCAATCAAAAAATCATTCCAAAAGTTTAGGTGGGGGTACTGCAACTAACTAGTTGTGTGCTGCAGGAAGCAGACACAGATGAGGCCACGTCCCCGCAAGTCCAGTGCCACAGCCTCTTCTGTAGGAAGGGGGTGCTCCACGCTCACCCCCCGGCCTGGCAGAGGCACCGAGAGGCGTGGCGGCCCCGCGGTGCGGCCTCTGAGCTGGGTGCAGCTGCACACGGCAGGGCCCCGAGGAGATGCTGCGGGAGGAAGCACCACCCAGGGGACAGAGAAGCGAAGCAGGTGCTCGTAGCCATGAGTGAGCCTCGCCCTGGAAGGCAGGGACGGGGTAGCGAGCACAGCCCTGAGTTCCTCGATCTCCTGGTTTAGTCTATTCATAGAAAACATTTTGTCACCCTGGAGGCTGCAGACGAGGCCTCCGGGCCCAGGCCCTATCCAGGGTGTGTCAGCTGTAGGCCACCAGCCAGGAGGTGAGAGCTGGGTACCCAGCGCAAGCCCCTCAGGGCAGGGGTACACCCCATGGTGGGGTTTTCTGGGAGCAAAGCCGAGCAGCTTCACTGAGACCCTGGGGGTGGCCAGGGGACGTGGCTGTGTGTGGCTCGCGGGCCCATGGGCCCAGGCTGTCCTGGTCAAGGGCAGGTGCCACGCCCTGTGCCACCTGGCACCTCTCACCTCACGTGTCTCCAGCGCCTAGGGCTGGGCAGGTGCTGGGCACGGCCCTCATTCACCCAAGATGGGGGACAGCAGCTGCGCCCAGAAAGCAGCCTCGCAGGCCTGGTCCCCACACCGGGTCGGGAGCCCAGGCGACCAGGGCCTCAGCCCAGAGTCTAGACCAGGGGCCGGTCCAGCCTTCCGCGTGCCTCCTCTGACAATTAGCCTGGAAAGTGCTGGCAACGCACACCGGCCTGCCCAGCATCAAATATTCATCAAGAAACAACTCCAAGCAGCCACACTGCCTCGTGTCAGCCAGGCCCCGGGGACAGAGCTAAAAATAGAGCAGAGGCTGAAGAACTGCTGCCATGGGAGGGGGGCCTGGGGGAGGCTCAATGCCTGCCTTGCCCCGCCACGAGTCGCACACGTGTGCACCGGGGACAGATGATGAGCCGCTGGCCGGGGTCCCCAGGGGAGCGGCCAGGAGGGGCCGGAGCAGAGGCCCTCCCTGGGGAGTCGGCCCACTGCCCAGACTGGGGATATTTTTATCGACACCGGTGCACCCCAGGACACAGCGGACCCCAGGACACCAGTGAAGAATCAAAGACCATCTCTAATTAGCGAGGAATAACAGCCTGGGGTGACAGGAAGTCAGTCAGCGGGAGGCGAGGCCATCGCCAGGCGGGGCCTTTCAAGCCCAGGGGACCGAGCGTGACCATGACCAGCCTCTCCTCCAAGCAGGCCTTTCCCCACCAGCCTCCGCAGCCCCTCTTGTGCCTCCTCCTCCTCCTTGCTGTTTCTGCAAAAGGCACAGGTGGCCCCGGGGGCACAGATGGTCCAGCCCCGGGTTGTTACCCCACCCACGAAGGCGCCAGGCCTGCAGGGAGGCACTCTCCGCATGGGACTGGACTCCGGGACACTGAGCCCTCTTGGCGGAGGCCCTGGTCTCCTGACTGGTTGGGTTCTGCGGTGGGCATGGCTTGGGGGCAGCAGGGCAAGTCCCCCCGCTCCCCCGGCGGAAGTGGAGGAAGGGCCTGGAGGTTCAGGACATCCCTGGCGCCACCCTGTAACCACCAGCTGGCTTTGCTGTTCTGCTCCCTTCTCTCTGGCCTCCAGGCCCCATGCTCCCATATCCTGGGCAGTGCAGAGAGCTGTCCCCCCAGCCCGGGCCCCGCCCTCTGGGTGCAGGCCCCTCACCGAGGTGTCCCTGCTCAGAACTGAAGTTGCAGTTGCTCCCCATGTCCAGCTCCCCCTCCCAACCCTCACATGCACCCTTTAATAGCCTCTACTTGGCTCCTACTGTTTACTGTCTCCTGGAAGAAGGTTCTGGAACAACATTAGACAGCAGCAGGCGATGATCTGAGCTCCTGAGACAAATCGGCTGGCAGGGGCACTCACCCACCCTTTGTACACAGCTGGTAAGCTTGGGCCGAGCTGGGGCCCACATGGTGGGCACTGCCCTACCTAGGAGCCCAACAGCATGGCAGCTGTGGGAGCAGCTGGGGGTCCTCGGGGACCTGCAGAGCCTGTGCTGACTGTCCTGGCCCGCGGAGCAGAGGCCAGCAGCCCGTGGACCACTCAGACGGCTCCTGAGCCCTACTCTGGGCTGGATGAGGGGCCACACCCAGGGCCGGGAGTGAGACCAGTTGTGGGCGCACACAACAGAGATGGTGCTATGGACCTGAAGACGCGGGGGTAGTGGGGGTTGCTCGACAGCGGAGGGGGAGCCCCTCCACGGTCTGCCCGAATGGAATTCTCCACGCGCGCCAGCCGGACAGGGAGGGCCGGAGCCTGCTTAGGCTCCCCGGGGACGGGGGGAGTGACCTCCAACCAGCCAGCCTCACTGGTCTGAGGGCTCCTCCGCCCCCGGGGCCAGGCCGAGAGAAGCAGGTGGGGCTCAGAGCCTGCGGCCGCCAGGGACAGATTCCAGGCACACCGACCGGCTCTGCTAAGGAATTCGAGGGGCTTGTCACAATCCCGCCAGCCACGGGGGTCTGCAGGTGTCATTCATGCGCTCGTTTGTTCGTTTGCTCCACAATCACCGGGGCCTCCAGCCGAGCATCCTCACCACCCGCCGCCTTCCCGGTCCTGCCATGAAGCTCGGCTGCCCCTGGCTCCTTGGAGCTCAACTCCCCAGAGCCGGCAAGTGGCTGGGGTCCTGGCTTCCAGGGCCTCTCAGCACTGCCCCTGCCCCTAGCCCTCCCGGAGACCCTGCCTGCTCTCTAGGTGCCACTTCACACCCTGGCCCGGCCCAGCGGCCACCACCTACCCAGCGCACAGCCCTGCTCCTTCGAGCACCTGCAGGCCCACTTCGGCCCAGGCGCCCAGAGCGGTGGCCTGGCTCTCACTGCCGCAGCTGTGCCCAGGAGGCCCCCCTGCTGCCGGGGTGCGGCTTGGTCCACGTCACACAAAAGCCAGGACACCCCACACTCGCCTTGAGAGGGTGGGCCAGCGACACGAGAGGGGCTCAGCCCCGCCCCCCCACAGGCCATGGGGAAGGGCCCTGACATTTGATGGGGCCGGAAAGTGGCCAGGCCTGGGTGCCACTGCCCAGAATGGGCTCGGGAGACCAGCCAGGGAGGAGACGCTTGGCCACTCACCACGAGCTGGGGCACAGGCAGCGACCGGCCCTCCTGGCTCAGGGACACGTAGGTGAAGAAGGCGCTGGCGGCCCGGTAGCGCTTCTGCGAGTTGTCCACCACGGGGTCGGCATCTACCAGGACCTCGATCTCCATGGACTTATTGCTGGTGAAGGTCATGCGCCCGGAGATGGTGATGACGCAGCCTGTGAGAGGAGGGCGGTCAGGAGGACGGGCAGGACCCAGAGCCCCCGGGTCATGTCAATAACTGCTAGGACATCGGAGCACGCAGCGTCAGGAGGCGCCAGGGCAGCCCGTGATCCAGAGCAGACACGGGGCTGACCCACACCTCCTCCCAACCTCAGGCCCTCGGTGCCCATCGCCAGCAGCGGCCCCACCTGGCTAACCGAGCTCCGCCAGAGAAATGTCCTCACCTCCCTAGCCGCCTGCCTGCAAGGGGCCCGGGGCCGGCTGACGGTGGCCTGGCACCGGCGTCCACACAGAGCAGACTAGCCCGTGGCTGACTGCGGGCTCCCTTCTCCCCAGGCCTTGCCGATGGACCCGAGCACCCGCGGGGCAGACACTGGCCTTCCCTGGGCTCAGCGCCCCATCCCGGTCAGATGCTGCAGGGGCCCCTCCCTACCCCGCATGCTCCCTGCATGGGTCAGGACGAAGTACAGAGACCCCTGGGGCACCCCCACATCACTGTCCCTGGTGTCCCTCTCCCTCCTGACCTCAGGTCCCGCCTACGGTCTTGAACGTCCAACTGCAGGTGCACACTGCGCCGGCCACTCGCCTCAGCTCTCCCGGCCTGGACCTGACTCTTGACCTCATGAAGCCCAGCTTTCCTGCCATGGGTGGACCCAGCTGCTTCCCGGGGTGACTGTGGGGCCGGTGCCATGTGTTTTGCCCCGGCCAGGAGGCGGCAGGTGGGAGTCAGTATCATCATCACTGATTGTTGGGGGCTGCCCCCCCACATGTGGCCAGAAGGGTACCCACCGGCCTTATCCTGGGCCCTGCTCCCCAGGAACTGGGGCGGCTGCCAGGGTCCTTTCATGCACATCCCTCCCCGCCCGCCAGGAGACCCGTGTCCCAGCCCCGCGGAGACAGGCCCACAGACGAGTCAAGAGACCCCGAGGCAGACAGGCCCGAGCAGCGCGGGGACAGGCAGGGGAGAGCGTGCGGGCAGCCAGGCGCAGGAGGGTTAGTCTACGTTGTAAAGTACTGGGATGTTCTGTGCCACACCAACTTCGTACTTAATGGGGGGTGCTTCGTGTCAGACGGGGCCATTTCTGGGGGGAAGGAAGGCCACGGGGTCAGAAGTAAGTGACACGGTGAGCACCACACGCAGAGCACCCAGGGAGCCCTGGAAGGGGGGAGTCTGGGAGGCTGAGTCCAGCAAGGGAGTGCGGAGATCTGCAGATGGACAGGGTGCCCACGCCCCTCTGCCCCCACCATCAAGCTGCACCCGTGCCCAGTCAGCGCCGCTCCCATGAGAGGGACCCCGTAGGAACTCGGGGACCAGGGGCTTGGGTGCAGGGCCACCCTCGGGGCTTGAGCGCTGCTTGGGGAACGACTAGAAAGGAGGCCTTCCCGAGTCTCCCACGGAGGTCTCCCCAAATGCCCTGCAAACACTTGGCTTCTCACGTCTGATTTCTGGGTTGGAAATCCAAATTTCTAACCTTAGTAAAAACTTTCAGACACATTTGGGCCTCCCTGGGGGCGGCAGGGGTTAAGTATCAGCACTATCTAGCTGCCACCAGCCACTGCAGCCTGAGCTCGATCCCTGGCCAGGGAGCAACCCACATGGCACAGCAGACCTCTCCTGTCTCCTCTCAGCAGTGGATTTCAGTGGATCCGCCTGTTCTGCTCCCCACTCTGTCTCTGGTGCATCCTCTCACCCCCGCATCTCTGGCCTGTACCCCAGTTCTTGTATGCATACATAAATAAAAATAAATCTAAAAAAAAAAAAAACCCTCAGACACCAAGCAGGCTGACTATGAACCACGGACACCGTGACAAGGAGCGCGCCATCCCAACGCTCCAGGCCTCTAAGGAGTCAGGGTGCCCAGACAGCCAGGGCCCAGCCTGCTCCCTCCTGGGGACCCACCGCACGTCCTGAAGAGGCTGAGAAAGGGTGTCTGGCGGGCTCAGGGAGGGGCTTTGTCTCAAAGACAGTCAGGTCCTACCTTAGTCACCTCCAGGAGGCAGAAAAGCTGCTAAGGCCCTTCCTGGCATAGACTCCCCCACCCCACCCCACAATCCGGGGCCTGCGGTCAGGGGGCCGGGAAGCAGCCGTCCCAGTCAGCGGTCACGGTCAGGGGCAAACACAGACACGCTGTCTGCACGCGGGTCGAACGTGGCGAGTCAAGGGAAGGTCTCCGCATCATGGACAGAACCGGGGAGTCGGGCACCCCCACGACAGCGGTCATTTCTACAGGGCCCCCTTCGTCTCTGCTACCTCAAGACGCTGTGCTCCCCCTGGCCACCTCGGCTGCAGTTGTGATGGCTACGGGGTCCCGTGTGACCGTGTCCAGCGGCCCGGGGAGACTGCACAGACACCGGCAAGACACCACAACTGCCACAAAACAGAAACCGCCTCTCTGCCCCCCACCCCTAGCCCCAGTGGGCAGACGGGACAGGACGGGACAAGCCCGCCAGCTTCTGGGAGGGAAGACTCTTTCTGTGCTCTGGCTTACGAGTGGTGGTGCCGAAGCAGCTGCCCACTACGGCGAAGTGGATCTGGAAAGGCCTCCCGTGGACGAGAGCTCAAGGCCGGCCTACAGCCGCAGCACCAACCAGCTCCTCCCATGGCAGGGAATCCCCGGCCCACAGGCACGGGGGGGGGGGTGCGAGGGCCGCTGGCTGCTTCCTCGATCACTCTCGGGGTGCCCTCAGCCACCCGGCACACAGCACAGGAAACTGGCTGCCAGCTGGGAACACTGATTTCCTCTCTCAGTTGGCGAATCTCAAGGCTGAGGTGCACATGACCTGCTTCTCTGGGGCAGATTCTAAAGTGCCTCTGGGCCACGTCAGTCAACCAGCTCAGAGGGACCCTGCAAAGCAGAGGGGAGGGCCCACCGGCCTTTCCGCACCCTGGAAGCTCTCGATGTCCCAGGGAGGGGCAACCCCACCCCCACCCTGGCTTCCTGTGCTGCCACGTGTTCTGCAGGAGGGCCCTGGCCTGCTGGACCTAGGCCTCGTTCTCAGCACCCTCCAGGCAGTGTTGGGGGGGCCAGCACACCCCTCATGTACCGTCACTCCGAGATCAGGGATGGTCCGACCTGACAGCTAGTACTACAAACAGCTGCTCTCAGAGGCAGGCTTTTCCAGAACCAGGCTGGCTCTCACGGCCCCGACCCACAGCCCAGGGCTCCGAGTCGCACCCCGAGGCCAGGGCCGGCAAGCAGGGCGGTGGCTTTGAGCAAGCACTGGGGGCACACCCCGTCGCCCCCGTCCCAGCTCTGAGTCGCTGGAACTGGATTTCTGTGTCCGGGAAAGTGACCAGCACCAGCGCTGTCCCAACCCGCCCAGTGATGCTCCACCGGCCCCAGCTCTGAGCCCCGGGGGTTCATGACCGCGACAGGCCGCCTCTGGCCCTGCTCCAGGGGCGCTTCGGGGGATGGCGTACGCTGCTCTCCAGGGGGACAAATGCCCTGACCCCCTCTGAGGCAGGTTCTCCACACTGAAAGGCCGGATGGACAAACCCCACGGGGCGCCCAAGACCACCTGTGGCAGTGGACGGGCAGCAGGCCCCTGAGACCCGGGGCCACCCTCGCCTGCCGGCCGGGCCCATTACCTTTCCTGATCTTGTCGTGAAAGTTGATGGCGTCCACGGAGGCAGTGACGATGTTGGTCTTGCAGTGGCGAGCGGCCACAATCCCGGCCACCTCATCCATGAGCTTCATGGTGACCCCTGCGCAGAGAAGGGCACAAGGCAGGTCAGCTATGGGGAGGGTGTTTCCCATCCAGGACACAAGTCCTGGCCACCAGCAGGGCCGCAGCCAGCACTTGCAGGGCGGAGGGGTGTGTGCATGAGGTGGGGCCCCGGGAGCTTGTGCTTTCAACTTGGCCTCCTCAGAGCTTCTGAAAATAACCACGGCCGATGTTCTAGGCCACTCGCAAAATAACAACCCTTTTTCTACCCCGCATGGCCATCTTACTCTGCCAGGACCAGGCTTCATCACAGCACACACAGATTAGCCTCAGAGTCAGGTGTCGGGGAGGGCCTAGGGAATCAGGTGCCACACACCGTGGAGCGGCAGGCCTGGAAAATGGTGTAGCCACTTGGCACAAGTCTGACTAACAGAGAGAGACATCTTGTAGGGCCCAGCGATCCCACTCCTGGGGACAGACCCAAGAAATAAAAAACACCCACAGGAACTTCCCCATGAGGGCATCACAGCAGTACCCGTAAGAGCCCCTAAGTGGAGACGACCGAACCACCCAATGCAGAAACAAGAGGCAGCCCCCCGCGCAGCGGAGCACGACTCAGCCGTGATAAAGAAGGGCATCCTGACACCGGCAGGATGAACCTCGAAAATCGGCTGAATGAAAGAAGCCAGATGCAAAGGGCCGCGCGGTGCGGGATCCCGTCTCTGTGGAATGCCCAGAACAGACAAGTCCATCGGGGCAAAACACAGGTCGGCGGCTGTGTGGGGGAGGGGAGGGAGGGACAGGCGTGACCACAAATGGGCCCAGTGCAAACGGGAGGGACAGCCCCGCTCAGCCCCGAGCACGGGGAGCATCGGGTTCCACCGATATTTCTGAATCTAACATTTAACTCCTCACAGGTTTTGTTGTTTTTTTAGTATCAACAACATGTGGACTGGCCTAAAAATAGGGACTTCATTTTATTTCCCCGGCCCAGCGGCTGCGGGTCACGCCTGCCCACCAGCCCGGGGAGCAGTGCCCGGTGCCGCTGACGGGCCGTGGGTGGCCACGACGCTCCCGTTTCCATATTTGAGCGCAGCTGGCGGGGGCGGGTGCCAGCCTCCTATATTAAGAAAACGATAGTAAGTTCACCCTACTTTAACCGGCCACCCTGTGGTAATTACAAGGGGTTATTCTAAGAATCAGCTGGCGACGCCTCCCGAGACAGCCCTCCCACCCCGGCTCTACCTGCGAGCCCATCTCCCGAGCCGGCCGAGGACAGAGGACGCGCGGGAAGGTAATTAATAGGGATTATTTCTGGCAAACACCGCTCAGCAGGAAAAGCAACGGGTTTCTAAGTCAAAACGTTCAGGGGGGTCCGCTAGGGGCCTGGCCTGCTGGCCCTGCGCCCACGCCCTGCAGACCCGGGAGCCGGGCAGAGGCCACCTGGCCTGTGCCAGGAACGGTCATGACCAAACCCGCTCGCGGCGGCTCCATGGACACTGCTCCCCCTGTTTTGATTTTTTTTTCTTAAAGATTTATTTTATTTTTATACAAGAACCAGGGTACAGGCCAGATGCGCGGGAGGTTGAGAGGATTCACCAGAGACAGAGCGGGGAGCAGAACAGGCAGAAGGACCGAAGTACACTGCTGAGGGGAGCAGCGGGCGAGACAGGAGAGGTCTGCCGCGCCATGTGGGATTCTCGCCGGCCGGCTGGGATCCAACCCGCGCTGCAGAGGCTGTGGAGAGCTTCACAGTGTGGCGCTCAACTGCCTGCGCCACCAGGGAGGCCCTCCCCGTTTTGCACAGGTGGCCGGCAGAGCAGGACAGCAGGTCCTGTGGGGAGTGGCCAGGCCAGGCAGAGGTGGCATCATGCCAACCCTCTTGCTCCCCACTCTGGGGAGGGCAGGCAGGCAGGGGCCTCCAGGGACACGCAAGGCCAGGTCTAGGCGGCAGCTGGGGTGAGGGCTAGCAGCTGAGAGTCGCACATCCGTGCCTGAGGACACCGGCCACGGGGCCTCACCGCCACAGTAGCTAAAGGGGACGCAAACGCACACGGACATGGCACCAAAGACAAAAGACCCCGGCGATTTCGTGAGAAGGCCATTCTCATGCTGCATGGGGCCAGGTGTCCCCAGCAAAATACTTTGTAGTTCTGGAAGTGGGGGGAGTCACTGACGAGGAGGGCCCCGGAACTACATGTTCCCTGCTGGAGGGAGCTGCAGAGGGGACCCGGTGCAGCAGGAGAAACCAGCTCCTGGATAGGTGGCCACAGGGCCCATTGATTGGAAGGGGCAGGAGGGCCGGCAGGGCTGTGCATCGATCGATCGATCGATCGGGGGACTGGCTGCGGGGCTGAGCCAGAGCCCCACCTTCCCCACCCCCGCAAGCCATCTGGATGGACAGGAAGCTGCTCTTTGGAGCAGAAGCTTCAGGGAGTGACGTGTTCACAAACAAGGATTCTTAGAAAGTGAGAGCTGGGAGGACCGCGGAGGTTACCTAACTCGGCTCTCAGCTCTACCCTGGGACGCGGCCCGGGGGGGGGGCGCTCGCCAGCCCAGAAGCCCCGCGGAGAAGCCAGAGGCCGGCTGCCTCCTTCCCCTCCTCACCGCACCCCCTCCCCGCCGCAGGGGCTTGGCTCCCATCTGCACACAGGGGGGCGCCAGCCAAACAAGGTCACAAAACTGGGAAGGAGCATCTGTGCCTTATTCTGTACTTTTCAGTGAAATCAATTCCACCCACAGGCGCAATGACTGCTTTTCACAAGCGCCAGCGAAAGCCTAGCAAACACGAGCATCTGGGCAGGAGGCCTCCTCCCGCACCTCGCCCCCCCATGTCCACAGGCTTCCCGGTCCCCACCTGCCCACACACGCGCACACGCCTGCCCTGCCTTCTGGCCCCTGGCTGCGCCATGCAGGCCCCCGGGGTCCCTCCCAGGGAGGAGCTGGGATTAGGGTCGGGCAGCAGAGGCGGGAGGGCAGGATGCGTGTCCAGGGACCGAGAGCCTGCACGAGGGCAGGGAGCGGGAACCCCGAGGCCGGGCTGTGGTGGGAGGGGCTGGCTTGGGGGTGTAGGTGCTGCAGCAGAGCCTTGCTTTGCCAGGACTGACCCAACCGCACGGCTGGGGCGGGTCAGGGTAAGGGGACCCCAGAGGTGGGGGTGATCCCTGAAAATAAGTGGGGACCACCGCTCAACCAAGCTGAGGATGGTGAAAGCACAGGAGGTGGGGGGCGGTGGAAGGGCTCTGCAGGCTCAAAGCCCCCAGCCCGCCCCGTGAGGATGTGAGCGGGAGCCAGCAGGGGTGCAGTGCATGGCAGAGGGCCTGGGGTCTGCAGACGGAATGCAAAGCCAGGGCACTGCCAAGCCCTCCTTCCTCTTTTCTGTGGGTGGATTTTATTCTTCTTTTTCTAGCTCAACACTTCGGTATTTTTAACTTTTCTTTTTAAGTGTCACAGCTCCAAGTTACCCATTTTCTTTCTGAGAATGTCTTCAGCCCGCCCTTCCGCCACACTCCGAGGCTGAGAGGAAGCCTCTTCCCGCGCGCGCCTTTCTAGATAACTTAGAAGTCCAGGTGTCACCTCTTCTCCCACCAAGAGTCACGGGAAGAGGCTTTCGTAACCTCCGGGCAGACGAGGGCCTAATAGGAGGGCTGCTTGGGCGTAGTGAATGCCGCCGGGAGGGGCGGGGGTGGTTGAAATGCTCCTGCGGTCACCTTCATGCACCTTCATGCGTATGTTTTGCAAATGCCCCACTGGGAAAAAGCACGTGACCTCCGTGGAGCACAGCAGCCCCTCTGCTCTCTGTAATAAGGTGGAAAAAATTAAATCGAGACCAACTAACTCTCAGCAAGGACTTCCTCCCTTCCTCCGAGCTGGGTGCTTTGCTGTAACGGCTCATTTATCCCCCAGCCCCTCGCAGGAAAGGAGGGGCAGCCCGGGAGGCTCAGCAGGGGTGCCATTCGGGGCAACTGCACGCTGAGACACGGGGAGAATGGACGATCAGACCCGGTCAAAGCTTTGGCCCACAGGCTGCGGCTGCGGCTGCTGCAGGCAGGAGACGTCCGGGCTGGGCACAGGGATCCGTCAGTGGCCCCTTGGGGGAGCCCAGAGAGGCGTGGGGACCTGGCAATCCCACGGGAGGAAAGGTGGGACGCCCGCCCAGGGGCAGCGTGGCTGAGAGGCCGGTGGGCTCAAGCGCAGGCCTGTGAGGGGCGGGGGGTGGGGCAGCGGCTGGAGCCCGGGTCGTGCGTTTCTGGGGACCCTGAGTCCCGGGGCCGCCGGGGTACTCGCAGTCAGCCAGATCTCAGCCCAGGCCTGGGCACGGCACCCAGGGCGCGGCATTGGCCCAGCTCGCTGCCGAGCCCTGTCCTGGCACCGCCTTCAGCCTGGGCAGTCTGCACCGAGAACCCGACGTGACCCACGACGGGGAGGGGGGCTGCGTTTCCGGAACAGACCTCCGCTTCCATTCCCAGGCCCAGCAGGAAGCAGGGCACAGGCGGAGCACAGATGGCGCTGGAAGAGGGCCAGAGAGGTCCACTCCAGGCTGAGAAGACAGTGATGGAAGCTCCCAGCGGTGCACCGCAGGGGCAGGGCTGCAGAGCTGCTGGGACGGGAACCCTCTGAACCCCCCTCCAGCCTCTGCAGGGCCCCAGGGCGTGATGGAAAGAGGACAGTGATTCAGGGAGGAACAAGGTGCCTCTTTCCATAGAGCATGAGAAGGGCACCGCTGCTTACGTAAGGCAGCCTGGGAGGCGCACCCCGTGGCATGGATTCGAGTCGTTTGTCCTGTCCCAGGGCCCAACATTAAGTGGTTTTTCCCACCTGACTGCCCAGCAGAAGCACCGGACGCCTGCAGTTGTGTGTGCTCCAGGCCCTCCGGGCAGGCGGCAGGGGCAAGGCCATGATGAGCTGAGGGCTGAGACCAGCTGACCTTGACTTGTCAGAGGGACACCCCAGCTTGCTATGAGGGAGCTGACCAGACCAGGCAGTGGGCGAGGCTCAAGAGGCAGAGGAAGGCCCAGCCCAGGTATGGGGGCACCCTGCCCAGTGAGAAGCACAGGCCGCCCCTGGGGAGGGGCTTCGGAGGCGGGCAGAAAGCGGGGGTCTGGGGCACCGGCGTGAAAGCCCCTGGCAGGGGACGCCGGACTGAGACGCGTGTGTGGAGCTGCTGGCGGGAGGGGACCCCAGCCTCGGAGCGGAGCAGCGAGGCGCTGTTGGGGTGGGGCTGGCGGCTGCAGAGACGAGGCACGGGAGTCAAGCACGAGAAGCAGCAGCTGACTTCTGGGCAGAGCGAGGATGAGGGACAGCCCGGCCTCCGCCAGCACTTTCCACGAGCACTTTAAAACAATCTACTTAAAAATAAAAATAATGGGGCCTCCCTGGTGGCGCAGCGGTTGAGCACTGGGCTGCGAAGCTGCCTGCAGCCTCTGTAGCGCCAGTTCGATCCCCGGCCGCCAGTGAGGGAACCACATGGCACAACAGACCTCTCCTGCCATGCCCGCTGCTCCCCTCAGCAGTGTACTTCGGTCCTTCTGCCTGCTCTGCTCCCCGCTCTGACTCTGGTGAATCCTCTCACCCTCCTGCGCTTCTGACTGTACCCAGTGCTTGTATAAATAAATAAATCTTTTTTAAAAAAAAAAAATAAAAATAATGGGGCAAAGAAAAATCTGTTACCGCTGAAAGTCTGGAGTTGACCACTCTCTGGGGTATGCCAGAGGGGGTCCCCCAGTAGCCCTAGGAGTCCCCAGCTCCCTCACACAAAGTCTGGCCACAGAACCTGGACTGGGGTTTCCTTTCACCACTGAACGGGCCACGAGTAGCAACTCTCATCTCGGGCTGAGAGACCTACAGGGGCCAGCCGCGAGGACCAGGCCAGGAGCCCCTAAGCAAGGCGCAGCAGCAGAGGCACCGTGGGGACCGCAGAGGTGGAGAACTGCGCCCTGAGGAGCAGCCGATGGAGAGACACAAAACCAAAGCCCCAGCCTTTCCCAAGTGGCTGAGAGGTGGTGCTCCGTGATGCAGCTAAATGCAGCACCAGAGAAACACCTTTGAAAGCAAACATCCCTGCAAACAAAAACACTGGAAAACAGCTTTTCTATTTCAGGGCCTCCATTAAAGCTCTCTGCACACACTCTGCCCCCGGACCACGCCCGCACCGCCTGACCACAGCCATTGCTGTGTCTCCTGGGGGACCCACAGAGACAGCGGGTTCACCCCCACCAGCTCCCTGCCCTGACTTTGACTCTCTTCCTCTTGTGCACCCGCGCGGGTTGCAATCTCCTAAACAAGGCCCCGCTCTGAACCAGCGTGGGGAGCCTCGGGCTCCCGGGGAGGAAGATGCTCCCTTTTGGGCTCAGGTCCCACCCTCAATGCGCCCCAAAAGGGTCTTAATTGTGGCCTGAACCTAAGTGCCCCCCAGATATCCGGGGCTCACCCTTCAGGAGTGTATGTACAACCAACAATGGAAGGGGGGAGAAAAGGGGAGGAAAAGCACCTCTTTGGGGGCTGCGATCCCAGCGCTCGGAAGAGGTGGGAGGGGCCGTCCACTCAGGACTCAGAAAAGGCAGCGGCCAGGGCCAGGAGAGGCGCTCGTCCAGCACACGACCGGAGTCCGTTCGTTGCGCGCTCCTCTCCTCACCCCTGCGTGTGTGCGTGTGTCTCTCTCTCTCTCCCTGTCTCCTCCACTCCCCCACTCTCTCCAGAGGCTCTGTCCATGCACCCTGACCAGGCCAGCCTCCCATCTGCAACCCCCAACCTCGCTGTCCCCTCAGAGTGGCACAAACACTGCTCCTCAACTCAGAGCGTCCCTGGCACACAGACTGCAGGCCTGTCTCTCTCGCACACAGCCTGGAAATGCCGAATAAAAGCCAAGTGAGTGGCAATTCCAGTTCACATCTGCCCCCAAATTGGCATCGACGGAGACACAGTTCAGTGGAAACGCTGATGCCCAGGACACCAGGCCTGCGGGCGCTTGGGGCACAGCTCGGTTTCTTCCAGCAGCGTGGGGCCTGTTGACTGGCTCCTCCTGCATTACTGGCTCTGGAACAACGAATAGGTCTGGAAAGAGCACTAGGCATGAGTTTATAAATCAGGGGCACAAACCCCACTGAAATGGGCACTGAATACCATAAAGCCCTGCAAACACCCGGCAAGCAAGGGCCCATAGTCGACACAGCCCTTCACCCCAAGAACACGCACGCGTGCCATGGATTTCTGGGGATCCCTCCTGGTGTTTATTCAACTATGGAAGAAAGGCGGGACTTGATTTTAAGCGTGTGGGCTTTTCACCAAGGAGGTGGTGGTGGTGGAGCCACGTTAGTGAACTTCCAACGATACGAAATAAAAGCTTTGGCAGAGTTCGCTAACTCCTGGCAGAACAGCGCTCTCTGGCTAAAGACAGTGATCGGCAGAGCCTTGGTTCCGAGGGTCGGCCTTGGAATAGGGGGCTGCCCCCCACATGCAGGAGGCCTGCCACACGCTGACAGAGCAGACAGGCCGTGGGGAAGGGGAGTCAGAGAGCTGACAAGGCCAGCTGGCCTCAGGGGAGAAAGATGCCCTGGGTGGGACCTCAGCAACTGTGCACGCGCAGGCAGCCAGGCTTTAGGTGAGAGGAAAACCACCATCAAATTGAAAAAAGAACAACATGAAAGAGGATCAGCTAACAAAAAACAACAAAAAACAAATTTTAACACTATCTCAAATCAGGATCTACTTGCTCTTGGTCCAGACAGGTCTGGAGCCCATTCCAAGCTCCTCAGCTTTTCCATACTCCCCGCCCCTTGTCCGAGGGATAACACCAAAAAGCCTCTCTGATCCTCGGGAGGCCAAGGGGACCTGCTCCTGAGGCCCCATTCTGTAGAAATACCTACGTAACCTGCCTGCAGTGGTACCACAGGAGTTGGGTTTTGAAGGATGCACAGGGGTTTTCTGAGAGAGAAAGGAGAGCGTGGCAAGTGGAAACGAGAGCACAAGTACAGGTGCCCACTGTGCCTGGGAAGCGAGGAGGAGCTGGGGATGCCATCAGTGCCCAGCCCGCACCTCTGGCACCCTCACGACCTCGATCACCACCTGCCCCTCTCAGCGACTTTCCCCCTTAAGCTTGTTTTTAAGTTTACTTTTATTCAAAATAACAATATCTATTAAATGCTACTTAATAGTTCCCCAAGCACACACAAGCAGTCACTCACGATTACAGTAAACAGTGTCCCTCCGTGAACCTGGAGCCGAGTCCCCTTGCGCTTGACCCTGTTCCTCAAGTGAGGAATGTCAAGGCCTGCGAGAAGAGGAATCTGACCAAAGGAAGGAATAAATGCAAACGCCAGCGGCAGTGACACTGTCAACTCTTGGCTGAAGGTCCCACTGTTGCTCCCTGGGGACATTAGGGACCCCCACCCCAACCCCACCCCACAGCTCCCTCCCTCAGGACAGCATCCAGCTGAATCTCATTTCCCATTGCAAACACGGGTGCGGACAGCACTTTGGTCATTTTTTATGCAACCTCTTGCAAGTTTAAGTTTATTCTTCATTAAACATAAAAGCCTAAACTGGGGCAGACGCAGCACGCTTCCAGGAGAGGGACGGGGCATGAGGGTCATGCACTCACCTCCGTGCACGAAGCCGTGCAGGGTGCAGTCGGAAGGCCCCACCAAGTGGATCAGGCTGGACTGGCTGTAGCTGACCGTGTTGGGCTCTGGAATCACAAAGGGGAGATGTCAGGCCCCGCAGGTGGGCCCCAGGCCTGAGGTGCCGGCCCCACCCGCCATCCCAGCCGTCAGCCAGGCATCTGCTGCTGTCAACTCGGATTTCTCTAAAACTGTGGTCTGCACACAGCTCCCCGGGAGAAGGAGAAGGTTTTCGAGGACTAATCGGCCATCTTAGCGGGCCAGTATGCCACTCCCAGCGGACGCCAGCAACCCCCTCAAACACACCAGACCTGCTGGGACCCACAGCAGCCACTGCGCACATGGGCTAAGCCCCAGGTTTGAGGCGACCCCCTGCCAGGAACCTCCTACCTGACCTCCACTCCCAAGTTCACTCCTGACGCTAGTTGGGCAACTTATTACGGAAATTCTGGGAGGTTTAAACATGTGGACAGTGGCTCTGGGTGCCTGGCAAGGGCGCTGCAGAGCAGTGTCCCTGGGCACTGGCCCCACCGCCCCGGGACCGCCCTCCGTCCTCATCTCAGGAGACACAGCACCGGGTGCTCCGGGCACCAGTGGGCTCCCTGCCCAGTGCGCAAAGCCAATGGTGAGGTTTTGAGAGAAGAAAAACGCTTATTGCAAGAAGACAAGCAAGAGAGAAGAGGAAGGCCTCAAATCCACCCTCCCTCTAGCTAGGGGAAGGGGCCATCTTGGTTTTAGCGAGAAGGAGTGAGAACAAAGGAGCTAAATCTTGGCTAGAGAGCGGGCTAAGGGCAAAGGAAGGTGGCCTTGGCTGAAGCTCGTGGTGAGCCACAGGTCAGGAAGGGGCTTTCTTTTTTTTTTTTATAATAAATTTTATTTTTATATTCCCCATACAATTGCAACCCCCCCATTCTGACCCCAATCCCTCCCCTCCCGCCCCCCACCCCCAAAAAGTGTCTCTGGTTCATAGTTTTTTGTTGATTTTGATTTTCACTTTCTTATAGTTATTCATTTTCCTGGTCCCTTATTTAAGTTTTCTAGATTCCTGCTATGAGTGAGACCATCCGGGATTTTTCTTTTTCTTTCTGGCTTATTTCACTGAAGGGGCTTTCTAACAAGAGGAGGTCCACACCCCGGGGGAGCGGCGCTCGAGTGTCTGTGAAGCCGCACTGAGACCGAGCGACGATGTCCCGGCTCAGAAGGCACCGCTGGCCCCGCCACCGCCCCTTCTAACGGGTGCGGGTTTCACTTTAGTGGGGGTCTCTGAGCAGACCCCCGAGCGGCCCCAGCGCACTCGCACAGCCGCCTTCCCAAATCTTCCAGGCAGGGTGACACTCGCCGCTCCTGCCGGGGACAGCCGATGCTCAGACCCGGCTGCCGAGCCAGCAACCTGGGCGCCGGCACTGCAGACAGGAGGCCCCGGCGTACGGCCGGGACAGGAGGCAGCAGGACTGAGTCTGCTCAGTGCCAAGGGCTGGCGGACGAGGGGATCCTGGCCCAGAGGCCATATAGGGCTCTCTTAAGCATCAACGGTCGCCCTGCCACTTGGAGAATGGCCTGGTGCTCCCCACATGGGATTTCAAGCCGTGTGGCTGCCGGGAGGGGTCGTAAAGCCAGGGTGGGCTGAAGTGTTTACTTCTGACTCAATCGCTGTCTATTTGTTTGAGGCCGCGCGGCTCGGAGCGCTGTCGACTCGGCCTCGAGTGTGTGTGAAGTGCCGTCTGCAGAGGAGTGGGGAGCAGGGGGTGCAGCCGCCTGATACCTGGCGAGACCGGGTCCTGGCTGCACCAGAAGAGGTGATGTGGCCTTGGCTGGAAGGGAGCTTGCTCTTGTCCACAGCCGGTTCCTGTCTCCGGGGGTCTGGACACTGCCTGCCCCTCCGCCTGACTCACTGTGCAGACTGTAGTGGGTGGGCCCAGCTGTCAGGGGCCCTGATGCTGCCGTGGCTCTGCCTGCCTGGGGCTGTGCCAGGCGGGCCCTCGAGCCGGGAGTAGGACACAGGGCCCTGGTGCCCTGACATGGACCCAGCAGCCAGTGATTGGCAGCAGCGTCCACTCCCTCCTGAGACCACTGCCGGCAGCCTGCCATCTGCATATGGGCCAAGCAGCCTGGGGGCCTCTGGGGCTGAACAACCTATCGACAGTGCTGACGGGTCTGCGTGGCAGACGGGTAACACCACGGGCACCGGGCCTGTGCAGGGGACCCAGAGGCGGCACACCTGTGCCCAGCGCAGGGTGTCCAGATCAGCCCAGACTGCTGAACCACACTGGGCCTCGGAGTAACGGAGGCCTGAGAAGGCGTGCAGTGCCCGATGTCTCAGGAGAAAAAGCTGCCGCGGCCCTGTCCCCTTGGTACGTCCAGCCAGGGCCACGCCCACAGCGCCCCCCCCCCCCACACCAGGATCTCACCGGGGGACAGGATCTGACCTGGGGACCAGGAGGGCAGAGCCTGCGGGGCCACCGCAGCCCGTGCTGCCCAACCCTGGTCTCCGCCTGCAGAGCCAGGACAAAGGCCTGAAGGGAGCCCCACGCGGCTTTTGTTTGCTTTGTGTTTCTCTCACAAAAGACTGAAAGTCCCTATTTGATAGCATGAATGGAAATAAAAGCCCCGAATTTGGCCCAGCGTCAAAACCGCTTAGACCAGCTAAGAGGCTCGCCAGTGGACACTGAGAAGGATTTCTTTTCATTTCAAACAACGGAATATTGTAAAAGTCGCTGTCGTGTCAAATATCTCCTTATTCAGATGGTAAGCCTCTGAAATCCCCGGCACAGCCCAGTCCTGCCGCCCTGGCAGTGCCCGCTGTTCTGTAGTAAAGTTTAAAAACATCAATTGAGCCGGGTCTCCCGATGTGCTGGCGTTAGAACGTGCACTGACGAGCTTTCACACCCCGAGTCCTTGTCACACCCCAAGTCCTTGTCAGGGGCCTGTGGGGTCAGGCTGTGTGGACCCAAACCCTGGTTCCGACCTCCATCTTCCTCTCCCCTTCTAGATCACCCTGAAAGCTGCCTGCCACAGGCCGGGGGCCTGAGTCCCCACCCTCTGGAGGAGCCCCCCACCCCCGACTCCCGTTCGCAATAGTCAAGTGATTTAGCTCAACCGAGCCAGGCACCGGGACGCCAGGGCTTAGGGCCACCATTGGCTGACTTCTGATTTCTGGACCTGCCATCCAAGATGCGGGGAGAGCTGTCAGGCTCCAGGGCGGCCGCAACAAGTAGCCCTTTGCTGCTGTTTCCAGCTGAGGAAACAGGCGCTGAGCAGTTACGTTCCCATGGAGGAAGAACTAGGTCCAAAACCAGCAGCTGCCCCCACCACCGCGCAGGAGGCAGAGACCTGGGAGGAAGGTGCTCCCCTGGGGCGAGCCCCCCGCATCAGTGGCACCGTGGACATGGCCAGGCAACGCTCACCCGGGCTGCCGGGCTGCCCTGACTTGCCAAGCTGCCGACTGTAGTGGGATGGACAGACGTGGAGGCAACAGTTTTAAACCTGAGGGCAGGGGTGGGGGCAGGGGGGCAGGCCCCGGGTTCGGCTGAGGCAGGGCTGACTCTGCCATGAATCACAGACCCCACACGGACAGTCCCTCGCGTGGCCGAACTAGTCCTCCGCAGTCCAGGCCGGACCACTGGCAGCTGAGGATCACAGCCTCGAGGTAATTGTGTGTTCTCTTGTCAGATGGAGAAAAAAAGACCAAAACCTGGGTTTTAAAGAACTGCAACGACACCTGAAGGATGACGCTGGGCCCTGGAGGGGGTTGCTAGGCAACAGCAGAGGAGGCCAAGCAGGTTCCAGCTTTGAAAGTGCCCAGAGCTGCAGACAGGGCAGGGTGGGGCAGGGCCAGCCGCTCTCACCAGGCCCAGCACTCGGGACATGCTCGGCCCTTCCCTCCGCTGCTTGTCACCGGGACCAGCCTGGGCAGCTCAGGCCGGAGCCAGAGGCTGGTGCCCCAGGCGGTGGGCCCCGCCAGGTGTGCCAGGGATAAGGAGTGGGGGGTGAGGCTTCAGCCAGCCAGGGTCTCACCGTCCTCACTGCCAGGGCCCCTCGCGGAGTGGGGACGGGCAGAGCGAGGCCCAGCGTGTCGTCCAAGGGCACTCGGGGCCCATCGCTGGAGGAAGGTTGCTCAGGGCAGGTCCGCGGTTGCCAGGGGCCAAACCCCCATCTCAGACACCACCCGCCAGAGGACGGGAGGGCTCCCAGCACCCCAGTGGCCTGAGGGTCCCCAGGGAACAGTACCAGAGCCCCTGCCCTGACTGCAGCTGAGCCCCGGGGAGTCCTCCGTGGAGGAGCCCATGAGGAAAGGGCCCTCTGGAGGGAAAACACCCCTTACCCTCTTTGTTGGGATTTGGGTGGGTGTTTCGCTAACGCCGGGCTACCCTAGCCAAGAAGGCCGAGGATGGGAGCCGGGAAGAAGGGGGTTCGCCCTGCACCTCAGCCCAGTCCACCCCACCGCCAGCGCACACCTGCACTCACCTGGGTTCAGGACGGGCTGGACGATGTCCCCGTTCCGCCACTTGGTCTCCATGCGCTCCAGCTTCTGGGCCTCGTAGCGCTTGCGGCCCTCCTCCTCCTGCTCCTGCCGGGAGTACTGCGGGGGCACGGGGTCAGGCACTGCCCTCCTTGCCCCAGCCCGGCTCGGCCTCCCCGGCTCTGCAGGGTCATCGGGAACTACTGATCCTTTTTCTGATAATGTATGTTTAATGTGTCTAACAAAACCCAGAGGAGATGACATTTCACGGGGTCCACCAGAGGGACCCCAGGGCGGATGTTTGCCTCACAGCCTCCTGGAGTTATTTTTATGGCCGTGCGGGGTTACATAAAAAAGGTGGTTCCTCCTCCCACAGGCTCGGCAAACACTTCACGTGACCACCTGTTCTGCTCGGGCCTCACACTGGAGTTCAGTCCTCACGAGGAAGCAGCAACCACCCAGCCCGAGACACGCATCCGCACCTCGCACCTGCCGGCTCCTTCTTGCCCTCACCCCTGGGCAGAGAACTGCAGCATCAGGGAGCCTTGAAAGGCCCCACCAGGGGCTTCCCTGGTGGCTCAAGGGGTTAAGCCTCAGCACTATGAAGCTGTCCGCAGCCTCTGCAGCATGAGTTCGATCCCTGACCAGGGAGCTACCCACATGGCACAGCAGACCTTTTCTGTCTCCCTGCTGCTCCCCTCAGCGGTGTATTTCAGTCAGTCTGCCTGTTCTGTTCCCCGCTCTGTCTCTGGTGAATCCCTCACCCCCCCACCATACCTCTGGTCCACACCCTAGCTCTTGTATGCATAAATCTGGTCCACACCCTAGCTCTTGTATGCTCTTGTATGAATAAATTTTTTTTAAAAAAAGGCCCCACCAGCCTCATGCCACAGGCTCCCTAGGCCCCGACACCCTCGCTCCGCTGACCGGGGCAGTGGGCCAGCCATGTGTTGGCGAGGGGCACCCAGGGGCTTTGACCCAAGAAGTCAAAAATAAAAGTGAATGTGAAACTTGCTTCTTAGTCCTCCGGCCTGCAGAGAGGCTGGGCTCCCTAAGGTAACAGCAATGGCCCACTCACTGCCCTCCATGCCCACCGGCCTCTGTGCCTGGTCAGGGGATCCCCTTAGATCCCTGAGAGGTTGCAGGTGCTGGGGTGCCCTGCCCTGCAGCTCTGCTCCCAGGGCTCACCCCGGGCCAGGCTCCCTCTTCCAGCAGCAGCAACGTCCACCTCTCACTTGCAGCCGAGCCAGTGGAAAAGCCAGGGGGTCAGGGCCCGGGTGTTCTCTCCGCCCCCCGCTGACCCCGACTCGAGCAAGCCCCGCTCAGACTTGCTGCGCAGCCAGGCTGGAAGGCCTTGCTCTCCCTGAGCGCGCGGCTCCGAAATGGCACGGTGCGCGCAGCTCTCGGGCTCCGGGTCAGAGCCCACGCTGCAGCGGCAGGAGCCGCGGGGCCCCTTCGCTTGCCCTCCACAAACAAACCTCTTCCTTGCCCCGCCACCGGCGCACGGCCAGCAGGAGCGCGTGCGCTGGGCCTCTCGAGTAAAATTGATGGCTGAGCTTAAGAGCCCTCAAGAAGCGCCTTTTGAAGACATTTTGTGAAAAGAGCCAAACTCCCCAGACTATAAATGCTCGTGTGTCCCGCACCCTCGTCAGACTCGTGGCCAGACGGGACGGATGGAGGCTCCCGTCCAGACACAAGCCACCAGGACAGGAGAACCCAACCTCCTTGCAATCACTTCCCTGCTGGCTTCCCTCTGGGGATAAAAATCACTAGAACCTTCTAATGACAACAGGCTGGCACCTAACAATCACCCCCCAGGGCTCATCAAACCCAGCTGCCGGGCAGGAGCCCAGCAGCCCAGCCCGGACGACACAGCCTGTGCAACCACGCAACTCGAGCACAGGTTCAGACCCTGGGAACACCAGTGTCCACTCGCTGGTGTCGCCTGGCCGGGCGGGAACTGCCCTCAAGCATCGCAGGGCCACCAAGGTGCCTGTTCTGTGGGGTGCCTGGGTGTGAGGGGGCGAGGCGTGTCTGCCATGCGTGTGTGATACATGTGGGGTGCGCACATGTGCACTGGAGGTCGTGCGAGACACAAGCATAGAGGGGTCTGTGCAGGCTGTGGGCCAGAGACGGCTCTCTGTGAGGGGGCAGAAGGCTGGCAGGATGTGGGCAGCCACTCAGGCTCCCACAGCGCAGGAGGGGGAGGCCTAGGGGCGCGGGACGCCTCCCCAGGAGGCGAGGGCCTCTCTTTCCAGGCAAGCAGAGGCTTGAGGGGGCCTGCGGGCGGGGGAGGGGAGGCGGCACAGATGAGCATGAGGCGCTGCAGCTGGGAGCCCACGGCCTCTCCATCTGGCGCTGCTGCTCCCGCTTCAACGCCCCTCCACCAGGCAGGGTGGTATTTCCGTCTTATCAGACCAGCTCCACAAAGGGAAGGGGTGGCTGAGGACTCCTCCAGGACGTGGGCGGGTCCCTCCCGCTCTGGCTGGGCCTGGGAGCCGGAAGGCACAAGGGCTCTGGCGTTTAGTCCAGAATCTCCCTCTAGCACCAAGCTCTGGGCTGTGGGGCTGAAGCAGAGCCGGCCTTGCTAGGTGCCTCTGAAATTTTGTAGCCTCTGAAAATCCAGTCACGTAACGACTGTGATCAAGAATGTACCCGCGAGGAGGCTCAGGGCACAGGCAGGTGGGCAGGCCCCGTGTCACTGCGAGAACAGACTTGGCCTGAGACTCAGCCGGCACATAGAGCTGCTTGAAGCTGGTGTTTGGGGGGCAGGGGGAGGCAGATGAGGGCTGCGTGGGTTACAGGGGCTCCACTGGAATCGGAGCGTGTGTGACCTTATTTGGAAGAGGGTGTGTGCAGGTGCAGTGAGTGAAGACGAGGCACCTGCTTTCCCAGGTTAAGGTTGAAGGACCGACCCGCCCCGCCTACCCAGACGAGGGAGGGGGCTTTTCAGGTCTAGGGGGGAGGGACCCAGCAGGAGGCCAGCCTGGGGCAGCCACCTCGTAGCACGGGTGGAGCGCCCCCTGCAGGCTGACACCAGGAGGGCCAGGAAGCACGTCCCCAGGGCCCCTGGGGTCCAGGGCCACCCAGGTGGTCAGCAGAGGGGCAGAGAGGGTGCAGCTGGCCAGGGACATGGATGGCAGGAGGGACCCTGGGGTCTGTTCCGGTTATACTGTTTGTGACAACCGTGCTCTGTCCAAGGGCACGGAGCAGCTCCCGCAGAGCTGTGAGGGCCACGGGCTCTGCACCCCGGGGCTACTGGTGGTGCGCGAGTAGAGGTGTGGCCCCGGCCCAGCCCTGAGAGGAGAGGGTCTCCTTACCACCACCGGCGGCACCTCCAGGACCTTGTCCACATTCTTCAGCGAGAGAGGCACGTACCACAGGGTGGCCTTGTTGGTCAGCTTTTTGGTACCTTCAGAGACGAAAACCAAGTTGGGGCGGCCGGGAGGGATCTGGGGGGCAGGGCACAGTCTGGGCTCAGAGCTTTCAGACAGGGGCCCCTGGGGAGCTTCCAGGCCCACCAAGCTGCCCCTCTGTGGAGGCTGCTGGAAGGACTCCAGGGCACCCCTTTTAAGCGGGGGGTGGGGGTGGCCAGGCTGTTGCTTTCCAGCACTTTCTAACACCTGAGGACTCACACCCAGAGGGTGTCAACTGACTCCAGGCAGAGATGCCAATGCCTTCCACAGGTGTTTGGACAAAAGGAGAATTTGGTCATTCACCTGTATCAGAGCCTCTGAGGAGCTGCCCAGTGCGGGCAGACCCCTCACTCTGCCGCCTCCCAGAGAAGAGGGGAACAAAGTTGGGGGTGGGGGCTGAGCCTCCCTGCAGACCCCAGGTGATGCGGGACTTCAAGGTGGAGAAGGCACTGCTGCTCCCCGCGCTGGCTGCTTGGACCAGCAGTGCCCTCTTGGGCATCCACCTGTCTAAGTGCTGCCAAAGCTCCAGCCTGCAGGTGGGCCCACAGGCCAGTGGCACATGGATGCAGGCTGGGACCATATGAAGGCAACCCCAGGGAGGCCCAGGAAGAGCCCAGAGCAGGCTATGCAGGCAGCCCTCAGGGCCCAGAGGCTGCACAGGGCTCCTGCCTTCAAGGTGGAGGCCTCACAACCAGGCACTTGGATTTGCTGCTGGCCGACTCAGAGTGCCAGCCTTGAAGCTTCCAAGTGCTTCCGAGGTGGGCTGCAGGCTGCCGCTCTGGGCTTAGTGTCAGAGAACAGAACCTCCCTGGGCTCTGGGCCTGGCTGCAGGGCAGGAGGCCTGTCTGGGCTGAGAGCAGAGGCCAAAAGAGCCTGGCCATCTCTTGGTCCGCATCCCGCACCGTACAGGGGAGCCCAGAGGGGCCATCAAAGCCATTCTGAGCATAGAGCCAAGCTCCTATACTGCGCCTGGGAGTTTCTGGGAAGTCTCCTCAAGGACACCTTTAAAAAGCAGCTTCTGGGGCCTCCCCGGTGGTGCAGCGGTTGAGCGCTGGGTTGCGAAGCTGCCCGTAGCCTCTGCAGCGCCAGTTCGATCCCCGGGCACTGGGCGAGGGACCCACATGGCGCACAGACCTCTCCTGCCGCCCGCTGCTCCCCTCAGCAGCGTTTTTCATCAGTCTGCCTGTTCTGTTCCCCGCTCTGGCTCTGGTGAATCCTCTCACCCTCCCGCGCCTCTGACTGTACCCAGTGATTATATAAATAAATAAATAAATAAATAAATCTTTAAAAATAAAAATAAAAAGTAGCTTCTTCAGGGCCTCCCTGGTGGTGCAGGCTGTCGAGCGCAGCGCTGTGAAGCTGTCCGCAGCCTCTGCAGCGTGGGTTCGATCCCAACCGTGGAGCAACCCACATGGCGCAGCAGACCTCTCCTGTCTCCCTGATGCTCCCCTCAAGAGTGTATTTCAGTGGATCTGCCTGTTCTGTCCCCTGCTCCGTCTCTGGCGAATCCTCTCGCCCTCCTGCACATCTGGTCTGTACCCCAGTTCTTGTATGCATGAATAAATAAAAAAAAAATGTAGCTTCTTCAAGAGGATAATTCCACATACAGGGAGAGTCAGGTTGGGGGAAACAGAGGGAATGGGGGAGGGGGGCAGCAGTACCCTCTCCAATCCCTCTGACCTTCCTTCCCAGACCAGCACCAGGGGTCAGTTAAGAAGAGGGGTCGCCACGCGGCCAGGCCATACCCCTCAGGACAATGGCTTCCTGGGCTGGGCAACCACAGGCATACCGCGTGGAAATGTTTTCACAGCTCTTTAACTGAGAGTGAATTTGACAACCTGGTTTTGGGAATAAAGATTTCCGGTTCAGGGCCTCCCTGATGGCGCAAGGGGTTAAGACGCAATCTATGAAGCTGTCCACAGCCTCTGCAGCACGAGTTCCATCCCTGGCCAGCCAGGGAGCTACCCACATGGCGCAGCAGACCTCTCCTGCCTCGCCCGCTGCTCCCCTCAGCAGCGTATTTCAGTCAGTCTGCCTGTTCTGCTCCCCGCTCTGTCTTTGGTGATCCTCTCACCCCCACATCTCTGGCCTGTACCCCAGCTCTTTTATGCATAATAAATAAATCTTTAAAAAAAAAAAAGATTTCCGGTTTGCCTCGGCCCGAGCAGCCTGACAAGCTGGTTGCCAAGGCAACAAGCAGCCCTTCTCGGGCCCCAAATGGGCCCCGTGGAGAAAACCAGGCAAAACATGCTAATTGTACTTTCTCCATCACTTAATAAAACCATCAAAAGACAGCTGTGGCGTTAAAAACCTCAATTTTAAAATCCTAAGGCTCCCCGCTATTTTCTAGAGCAATTCTCAGCAATCACGGCCCAGTTAGCTTAATATTTTGACAGCTGCCAGAGGAGCGGCGCCTGGAAGACAAAGGTTTGCTGCTTGTCTGCCTGGTGGGTGCGCTCAGAGGGGGATGCACCCAACGGGGGACCCTGCCTCTGGGGTGCAGGAACACAGACGTCACACAGCCCGTTGGGGTCGGGACCCCATGTGTTGTCTGGCTCTGTCCCCCCTGGGCTGGGCACTGGAGGTGCCGCAGAAGACAAGGCGGCCACAGCCCCGCCGCAGGGGCTGCACGCGCGCGTGGACACATGGCAGAAAAGGACACATCAAGACCTCGGGTCTCAGGGTAGACCCGGGGGACAATGGGAAGCTTAGTGCCCAGCGTGGGGTGACAGGCCCTGCAGGCAAGAGTAAGAAAGGGGCACCAGCCCCACAGTGGGCCCTGGGCAAGATGACCGCAGCCCTCAGGTTCCAAGTCTCCTGTCCCCACCTGGGGAAGGGGGGAACACTGAGGTCGGGGCCTGCCCTCCGCCTCCTGCATCTGTGCACTGGGCAGCGGTGACTGCCGGCCCTCCGCGCGCCGGCCCTTATGCGCACAGCCCAGGGCGTGGCGCTCGCCTCCCTCGGAGAACGTCCTCCACCTCCCATGTGGCTCCAGACTCAGCCCTGCCTGGGGGTGTCCACCGCTGCCCAAGAGCGGGCAAGGTCAGAGGACGTGGTTCCAGACCAAATCCCATCAGCTTCCCACCTCGCGGCAGGTGCCAAGTCCCCCTGATGGCCTCGGTTCATCCATCCACTCATTCATTCATTCATTCACTTGCAATTCTCAAGAGCCCAGGGGAGCTGCCATCTGTCCCTGGCAGCTCTTTGACCAGGCGGGGCTCCCAGCCTCGGCACCACACGCCAGGGCGGGCCAGCTCCGTGGGGGCCTACCCAGCACCTGGGTGTGCAGAGCATCCCCAGTCAGCGCCCATCCCCAGTCAGCACCCACCAAGCCAGCCACCCCACCCCGACTGTGAAGCCAGCACGGGATGCAACTGAGGCCCCGGGTGCCCACGTGGCACAGTGCAGGGAGCGACACCAAGGGCCCGCGCCTCGCGCAGCCCCACTGCAAAGCGCCAGGCCCTCTGTTCAGGGTATCCCGCTCAGGCTGCAGCTTCTGCCACGCCAGAAAGGGGGCTTGAAGGAAGGTCTCTCCTCCCCATCTTTGCAGGCACTGACTCCCCAACACACGACCCTCAGATGAGAAGACACGGCCACTGGGGCCGCTGGGACCAGTGAGCAAGACGTGCGAGGCAGAGGGCACAGTGCACCCCCACACAGCCGGGAGGAAGGGGCCCAAACCCCGGGGTGGAGGGAGCCACGACGGGGCCCTGCCCTGGGCCTCTTCCCAGCCTGCAGAGGTCACCAGAAGCTTCCAGATGGGTAGCTGTGCTTCTGGTTCAGGGGGTGGGGGAGCCCCTACAGAGCCCTGGCCCCCCGCGAGTACCTCTGTGGAGGAAGGGGCAGCAGGAGTCCTCCCTTCAGCACCGGGCGGACTCCCCTGCGCGGCCTGGGATGGGCACAAGGCACCGGCCTCCTCGGCACAGCCTGGTTATAAAAAGCAGCAGTGGCCGCCAGCCACACTCCCTGCAGCGCCCAGTGGGAGGATGAAAGGGGTTTCCATGGTTACCACTTGGGGAAGGGAATATTCAGATCAACCAGAGTCAAAGGTTTGCCCACTGGCTTGGCCGGAGCCTGGTCCCAGCCAGGAGGCCCAGGAGAAGGCCTGGGGGCCGGGCGGGCAGCCCCACCTGGCTGGGAAGGACGGGGCGGGAGCCACAGCAGAGGGCCCCAGCCCGCCCCAGGGTCAGCAGGCGCTTACCTGTGAGGATGTTCTCCGACATCACGTTGACCTGGACCTCCACGGAGTGCTTGGAGGTGTAGGTGATCTCGGCACTGACGTGCGCCACCTCGCCGATGCACATGGGCGACAGGAAGTCGGTGCGCTCCACCCGGGCCAGGGCGGCCACGCAGCGCTCCTGCAGAGACCGGGCGCGGGCAGCGGTGGATTTGTCAGTCGGCCTGTTCCGCTCCCCACTCTGTCTCTGGTGAATCCTCTCACCCCCCACCCCTCTGGCCCGTACCCCAGTTCTTGTGTGCATAAATAAATAAATCTTAAAAAAAAACCCTTCATTTAAATAATAAAAAAAAAAAGGTGAAAAGAGACTTAAGGGCTCATTGTGGAAACCATGGGAAATGCAGAAAAGTAGCCAGAAGGGAACCCCCCCCCAAGGTGGTTTCTGCGTTGAAATCATCTAGGTGGCCCCGGAGCAGGACCCCCAGAGTAGCCCCCCCGGCCCCCCCCGCGCCCCCGCCAGAGCAAGGCCCCCAGGGCAGGACCCTGACTGCCTGTTTCCTGGCTTGGTGGGTTTAGTCTCAGGTGTGCAAAGGCCAAATACACGTGCTCGCCGGCCGTTTTCACGCAACGGGAGGGGAAATCACCTGCCGGGGTGACGCGCTTTTTACCATCACCGTTCTCTTTTATTTACATTTTATTTCTCCTCCCAATACACAAGCCATCTGATGCCTCAGGGTTCAAAGGAACAAAGGGGCGTGGGCACCAAGCCAGACTCTGCTCAGACCCGGGCCGCCCAGCCTGGGGGGGGGGTCCCCTCGGAATCTGGGGTCCTGAGCTTTTTCAAGATTCCATTTTGTGAGACTCCCTTGCAACATCACTTCTAAAGGCTGCACAGAATGGGGGATCCGCCTGCTGCTACAGATGTGGGCCCACCCCAGCATCTATAAGCACTCCTGTGATGGGCACTCTTCCACCGGCCAGGGGCCCCTTCCCAGGCTGGAGGGACAGATGCTCCGACCTCTGTCCCCACAGACCTCCTCGCTCGGGACCGGCCAGGACAACAGCCTCAGGGCACAGCCCGGGATGGCCCATCCTCTGCGCTAGTGCGGGGTTCCAGGGCTGGGGCTGCGGGTCTCCACCGCCAAATGGGGCCCTTTACAGGACCAGCCATTTTTCCTAGGATGCTGGTCAGCGGGGCTGCGGCTCTCCCTGGCAGCTGGTGGGAGGGGCCGGGGCAGGGGGACAGGATGCACCTCTGAGAGGTCACTCTGGGACCCACTGTCCTGGTGAGGCCTCCCTGCACCCCTGGTGCAAGGGTCGCCGGGCTCGCGAGCTTGGGGGGCGGCTCAGCTGGCGCCCTGGGGTAGCTGTGCCCCCCCCCCCCCCCCCCCCCCCCCGCCTGCGCGCAGCCCCCGGGGAGCCAGACGCGTGCGGACTCACCCTGCACGCAGGAAGCCCACGGCCCAGCCCCGCGCCACAGAACCCGCCCCTCTGGAAGGACATGAGAGGGACCACCCTTCCCGGGGGAACCCCAGGCACCCCAGGCGGAGGTTCTGTGACAGTCTCTGCCCCAGAGGCGAGTCTCAGCAAAGCAAGAGACGAGGGTTAGGCGCTTCAGGGACAAGCACGGCCGTGCTCTCCCGCCATGAGCTCGCCGAGACCCGTGCCCCCGCACACGCACGCATGCACACCCACCGTCCATGCACACCCCCCTCCACACACCCCGAAAGCTAGACACAGGCCCGCCCCAGCTGGATGCGCGCGGCTGCAGCGCCACCCCCTGGCAGGGAGCGGGAAGGCGCGAGGGAGCGGAGCCGGCCCCGGGCCGCCCCCCGCAGAGCCCGCGAGCCCCGAACAGACTCTCACCCGGCAGCCCTGAGAGTCCTGGAACCAGGAATGGATGGAGATGCCCACACACGGCACACGAACACTTGCGTGGTTTTTCTGCACGTTAAAAGGGCAGGTCTACTAGGAAAAGGAGGCGGCAAAGCGGCCCCTGAAGCCACGGCAGCCGGTCTGGGCCGGGGGCTGCTCCCTCTTTAACGGAGATCCGCTGGCTTCTCGCCTGTCTGCACTGCTGAGCTATGGATGGGCCTGAGCATCCCACACAAAGGGAAGGACCTTGAGGCACCGATGGAGCCGGGCACTGCGCTGGGTGCCGGGCAGCGGGGCATCTAGGTGTCGGGCGCGAGCAGCACAATGTAGGGGGGGGGCAGCTTTAGGTGAGGGGCAGGAGGGCCTGTGCGCTGAGAGCTGCATGGCGAGGCTGGGGTGAGGGAGGGAGTCAGGGCTACCCTGAGGGAATCGGACGCTGCAGCAGCTGCGGATGACGAGCAGCCCAGGCGACACAAATGCAGGCTCCCCATTCCGGGGATCTACACCCCTACCCCTGAAGTCTGACCCTAACCAGAACCAGGTCCTCGTCCTTCCCAGGGCTCTGCTGAGCTAAAAGGCCACTGGGCTCCCACAGTCCCTGCCCTCAAGAACTCATACCAAGGTGGGGGAGCCCCCAAAGACAGACAAGCAGAGCGCAGTGCCATGGAGGGCAAAAGTCGGGCACAAGGGAGCTGGTCACCAGGGGAGGGGGATTGGAGTGTGTATGCACAGGCTGGAGGGATGGGGGAGCCGCTGGATATCTGGAGGAAGGCAGCTCCTTCCCCGAGGGGCGAGCAGCGTGGCGGCACATCCAGGGGCCCTCGAGGGCTGATCAAAGCTGGACGTAGAGCAACCTGGCATTCAGGTGGTGCTAGACAGGAGACCCCACCGGCCTCGGGCCACACTGTGGTACTGAGAGCACAGACTGGCTAGACCACAAGGAGGGCGGCTGGGGGGGCCCCGGCCACACCCCTCCCGGGTCAGCATCCAGCCAGCTGGAGCTGTCTGGGCTCACAACACCCATCCAGAGCCTGCAAGTTCCAGCTCACTCTCCTGGGACCGCAGCCCGAGGCACCTCTGAGCCAGCACAGCCAAGCCACCGCCCTCGCCACTGTGGGCACCCAGGGGACAGGCTTGCGAAGCATCGGTCAGGGGCAGGGTTTACTCCCAGACCAACCACCTGCACCTGCCCCCCAGTGGGGCCTCAGACAAGTATGCAACCGTCTCTGTGCCTCAGTTTCCCCTGTGTGCGATGGGATCATAAAATAACCCCTACCTCTTGGGGGAGTCATGAGGATCACATGAGTCAAAGAATTTGAGATCTGCAGAGAGCTTCTAAGGGGGCGTCACACATGGCATCATCACCCCAGTGGCCTCCCCCGTCTCCTCCCCCACCCAGCCCTGGGCCATCCCCTCAGACGTCCAGCCTCACCTCCAGACCCACTTCACCAGGGGGGCCTCTCTCCAGGGACCCCAGCCCAGCCCTCAGGCTCAGGCCAGTCCACCCAGCACCACCAGAGGGCGCTCTCTGACCGGGGCTGGGTTACCCCAGCCTTCAGGGAACAAATCCAAACTCCTAGAGAGGCTGAGAGCCCCTGCTTTCTTCACAAGGTGCGCCCAGCCCAACAGCCTCCCTTGCTCCTCTGAGCCAAGCCCCCACAATGCCCCCGGGCTGGGCTCACCCTAAGCAGCCCCCACGTTGTCTCAGGAGGAAAGGGCACCGCTGGTGGCTGGCCCACTGCAACCGAGGCCGGGGCTTTCTGGGGGGCATGCCTGTGCTGGCGCAGGCGGCCGGACAGACCCTCCCTCCCCAGCACCTGGCCCGTCTCTCGTCTCTCGGTGGCAGGCAAGGAGCCCGCCCTCGGCCACCTGGGGGGTGCATGCAGGCAGCAGAGGGGCCCACCCCTCCTCACAGAGCCCACACCAAGCACTCCTCCACCCTGGGTTGCCCCTCAGGCCGGGAGGGCCCCCGACACTCACCCCGTTCTGACTGTTACAGTGCCGGGTGCTGATGATGGCACCCGCCTCCTCGATCATCTTCAGGATGGTGCCCCCATGGACGTTGCCGGCCACGTTGGCATCGTCGGGCCGCATGATCCTAGGTGGGGAGAGAAGCAGCAGGGTGAATCCCGGAGACAGTGTCACTCATGGGACAGCGGGAGAGAAGGGCTCCCTCCAAAGGGCTCGGGGCCCCAGAGTCAAAGAAAGACTTTCTGGATCAGTGGGGAGGGCAGGGCGCTTATATAACAGACCAGAGAAGGGGCTGCAGGATCCTGTTTCCACGGGAGAGAGGAGGGCTGAGAGGGGGAGCTGCAGGCACCCAGCCCGCCCCCAAGAGGCTCCCCCCACGTCCCTGTGCTGAGAAGGGGTGACTGCAGGGCCGCTCAGCAAAGGCCACACACATGGCAGCAAGGCAGCAGAATAGCTGTTGGGGCTCCGCACCCACCACTGACCAGCAGAGCGAGCTGACCCCAGTGAGGACAGACAAGCAGCCCCCAAGCGCTGGTGGTGAGCAGCCTGGCCATTCCAAGAACTGGAAACATGTCCCCCACTCTCCAGGGGGCCAGCTTCCAGACCTCCGTCCTGGTGAACACCTACTCCCAGGCCCCAGCGTGCTGAGGTCCTCAAGGCACCCCAGGGGCCTGTTTCCTGCAATAGACAATGGGCAGCTCTCCAAGGTCAAGGAGAACTAAAATGCCATGCTGTTTCCAAGAGGATACTCCCCATGGGCAGCCCCCCCAGAGCTGGGCACCTCCCTAGCCAACCATCTGGCTGATGAAATCTGCCTTCACTGGCCTCAGGCCCTGAGATAGGTGCCAGGCACCCACCGAGGCTCTGCCCCCTTCACCCGGACCACGGAGCCACACCATGTTCCTGTCGGCATCTCCCAACAGCCGGTCAGACCCAGAGATCAGTCCTGCCCCGGCCCTCCCAGCCGGAGACCTGGGCATGCAGCCCATGTACACAAGCCCTCTACCCTGGGTCCACTCAACGGCATCCCAACCCCCCGCGTTTGCTGGAGAAGGAAGATGACGCGCCTCGAATAAGGCACAGCTGCCTTCCCTCAACACTCCCCAGTCCCCAGCCATCTCGTCATCCCTCTTCCCAAAGTGTCTGGTCAACCTGGGGTGGGGGGAGCTCGCGAAAGTGTCAATTTCTCTGCAAGCAGGCACCAGCATTCCAGGGCGACTAACAGCAGCAGTCTGTACCGGTTTGCACATCCCCAACCATCACACCTTTATCCCAGGGGAGATTCAACCACAGTACCAGGGCCCACTGGGCCCCTCCCCCACTCTCAGCTCTCACCGCAGCATCACTGGCTCAGGGACAACAGTCACGGCACCCTGGGCAGAGGCCAGAACCCCAGAACCCCGGGGAGGAGTCCCCTTGGCTTCGCAAATGAGCATTTTTGTGGCACAGCAGTTGAGTGCTGGGCTGCAAAGCTGCCCGCAGCCTCTGCAGCGCCAGTTCGATCCCCGGCCGCCAGGCGAGGGTCCCACGTGGTGCTCAGACCTCTCCTGCCACACCTGCTGCTCCCCTCAGCAGTGTATTTCATCAGTCTGCCTGTTCTGTTCCGTACTCTGGCTCTGGTGAATTCTCTCACCCTCCCGCGCTTCTGACTATACCCAGTGCTTGTATAAACAAATAAATAAATCTTTAAATAAAAAAAATAAAACCAACTATCTGTGAATCAACTAGAAACAGATTCAAATGCATTCGAGCAAAAACCATCCAACTCCTAGGAGAAAACTTAGGCGATCAGCTCCTTGACACCAGGCTTGGCGATGAGTTTTTGGATTTGACATGAGAGGCAAAAGCAACAGAAGCAAATATAAACAGAACTACAGTTCTGCAAAGGAAACCATCAGCAAAACAAAAGGGGATGGTTCTCCCAACCTAGGGATGGGAGAAACTATTTGCCAGTCATAGATCTCGTGAGGGGCTAATATCCGAAATCTTGAAGAACTTACATAACTCAACAGCAGAAGAAGAAAAAGGGCAGAGAAAACACATTTTTTCCAAAGACGTGCAGATGGTCAGCAGGTGCGTGGAAAGAGGCTCAGCGTCACTGACCATCATAGGAATGCAAATCAAAACCAGAATGAGGTCACCTCATGCCTGTCAGGGCGGCCACTTCCAGAAAAGACGAGAAGCAACAAGCGCTGGCGAGGCCATGGTGGAAAGGGAAGCCTGGTGCACGTTGGTGGGGACGTGAGCCGGAGGTGCCATTCTGGGAAACAGTATGACTGTTCAAAAAATTAAAAATTGAGCTACTAGCTTGGCGCGGGCCATGCTACCCATGCTGTCTGACAAGGTCCGGGCATGGGGGAAATTTCTGAAAAGTCAGAAAACTCCATAGCTGTCTCCTGCTGCTTCCTTTCATCTGTTTGTGCCAGTTATTGAAACCATGGAAATTTTCTATAAGCTTTAGAATAACACAATGACTGTTGGCATCAATGCCAGTTTCGGGAATGCACACCTCAGGAGTTGGAGAAATGTCCCTTCCAGCATGACTGATCACGAAATGGTTTCCAGTAATTCTCCACGTCCTCCAATTTGTAATGCGGTTACCACGAGTAGCACTGAGTTCTCTAACAGACCACACTTGACCGAACGGACGGAACTGAGCCTGGCAAAAGTCCCCACTAGAGAAGGCCCTGAAGCACCCCGGGAGGCGAAATGGTCTGGGAGAAATAACATACATGTTTGTTCCCACGGGCCCGGGACACTTTGGTTCCATATAGAAAATAGGAAGCCGCCCTCGATTTGACAGTGCCTGCTCAGCTTTGTTTTAGTTACCGAGCTTGACTGCATAAATCGTGGTGTAGCACCTGCTTCTATTCTCTGAATAATGCACATCACCTAAAAAATATGTAACCGAGTTAATGTAACCAAGTGACCAGGTTAATCATAGACTAGGAAAAACAGAAAAAGGATGGTGCACTGTTAATGATCACTGATAATATCTGAAACAATGTAAAAGTAAAATCAATCATGATCGCATGATGTAATGATCTAACAACAATTTCTGATATTATAAATAAAGCTGAGGCGATCAGTGGGAGAGGTCTGCACCCCGATCAAGTGTCGGTGTCTCCTCACTACCTCCTCATCCCTCCACTTCGCCTGCGCATCTCATCTCATCCTTAGAGAAACCCAGCCCCGGTCGGAGCTAGGACCCCGGCACTAGCTGAGTCCACAATTCCACTTCTGGGTATTTGTCCAAAGGAAACAAAAACACTAATTTGAAAAGACATCTCCACCCCCATGTCCATTACAGCATTCTTTACAGCAGGGAAGACTTGAAAGCAACCTAAGTATCCATCAAAAGGTGAATGGGCGGGGCCTCCCCGGGGGTGCAGGGGTTAAGTCTCAGCACTATGAAGCTATGGGCAGCCACTGCAGCACGAGTTCAATCCGGCCAGGGAGTGCCCACAGGGCGCAGCAGACCTCTCCTGTCTCCCCGCTGCTCCCCTCAGCAGTGGATTTCAATAGATCTGCCTATTCGTCTCCCCACTCTGTCTCTGGGGAATCCTCTCACCCCCCACACCTTTGGCCTGCACCCCCAGTTCTTCTATGCATAAATAAATAAATCTTAAAAAAAAAGATGACTGGATAAAGAGGATGATGTGAAAACCATGTATAAACAGCTACACTGGAATATTATGCAGGCACAAAAAGGTCCTCAGGCAGCACTTGCAACTGCAACCACGTGGCTAGCCCTTGAGAGAATTATGCTGCGGGAATGAAGTCAGAGAGAGAAAGACAAATACTGTATGATTCCATTTTTATGAGGAATCTATACACAGGAATCATAGATGCGGAAAGCAGATTTGGAAGGTGTCAGGGGAGGGGCCAAGGAGTAGGTGAAATGTATGGTGGTGAACAAAAAGTACAAACCTGCAGTTATAAAATACGTGAGTGAGGGGGATGTAAAGCAGAGCGTGGTGGCCACAGCTCATGCTAGCATATTGTATACTTCAAACTTAAAAAAATCTTTAAAAGTCTCATCACAAGAAAAATAATTGTAACTATGTGAGGTGACAGATTTTTTTTTTTTTTAAAGATTTATTTATTTTTATACAAGAGCTGGGGTGTAGGCCTGAGGTGGGAGTTGAGAGGATTCACCAGAGACAGAGCGGGGAGCAGAACAGGCAGAAGGACTGAAGGCACTGCTGAGGGGAGCAGCAGGCGCGACAGGAGAGGTCTGCGCGCCATGTGGGAATCTCCCTGGCCGGCCGGGGATCAAACCCACGCTGTAGAGGCTGCGGACAGTTTCAGAGCGCTGCGCTCAACCCGCTGGGCCACCAGGGAGGCCCGAGGTGACAGATATTAACTGGACGTATTGGGATCATTTCCCAATGCATATACAAATCAAATCATGCTGCACACCTAAAACTCATACAATAAAACTAAATGTCAATTACATCTTGATTACACTGTTAAGTAAAATCATTTAATTTTTTTAAAGTATTTGAGTTTTTAAAATTCAAGCTTAGGGCTTCCCTGGTGGGGCAAGAGGTTAGACACAACCTATGAAGCTATCCGCAGCCACTGCAGCGCGAGTTCAATCCCCGGCCAGGGAGCTACCCACATGGCACAGCAGACCTCTCCTGTCTCCCCGCTGCTCCCCTCAGCAGCGTGTTTCAGTCAGTCTGCCTGTTCTGCTCCCCACTCTCTCTGGCGAATCCTCTCACCCCCTGAACCTCCAGCCTGTACCCCAGTTCTTGCATGCATAAATAAATAAATCTTTAAAAAAAAAAAAAAAAAGAGGAGCAAATGGTCCATCTCAGCAGTTGGCCGGTCCTCTTGGGCACAGCTGCTGTTCAAGGGCCCAGCTGGGACAGAGGCAGGACTGGGGAAGTGGAGGCCCTGGGTTCCAGGCTTTCTTAGGCGCCCCTAGACCTGCCCCTGGGTGAGCCTCTCCACCCAGCAGAGCTATGCAGGCCAGGGGCCCACAGGGTGTGCTGGGAGGGCAGGACGGGAGCAGCCAGGAGGGGTGGGGCAGGAGGAAGTGCGGCTTCCGGAGGGCCAGAGGCAGCCACCGATAAGGGATGGGATGAGGAAGCAGGAAGCCCTTGGAGATAAGAGAGCAGG